GTATATTTAAAGTTTAAAATTAAGTTAAATTTATTATTTAATTATCTTTTTACTTTAGTAAAATTATTTACGTGTGTGTTATAAAAAAATTGGAAAATAAGTAATATAGTGCACTTCGGAAGAAAAATTTCAGAAACCGAAGTCATCTTGGAGCTGTCACTGGGCTAACCGCCCGATTTTCAAAATTCTACGACTCAATCCTGGGAGTATCTTTATATTATCTCCTACTTAGGCCATACCAAACATAATTACACACTACATTACTAAACACAACTCACATATAGTGAGTAACGTCAATTCATCACATTTGGCACCGTTACCATCTCACTTTACTTGACAAGTTGGAAGTAAAGTTGTAGATAAAAACATTTGCCACAGACATCCTTACTCTAATCTACTTCACAAATACTTCCTTTATACACATTCAAAATATATTAAACCAAAACTTTGTGATTATAAGATAACATTTACCTTAATCATTTTATAACATTATTGCTCTTGTGGTAGTTTAATACTTCATAAATTAACTAAAAACAATATTATTTAATAAAGACATTATTAATAGTAATAGTATATAATTAGAATAGTAGTATATATAAGTAATAGTTGTAAATTCATTAATAAAGATATAATCTCCTTGCTAAATTTTGTTAAATTTCTTGTATCTCTTCTCTATAGCTTAATTATTAATATTAAAAACTTTAATCTTCTTTAAATTATTTTCTAATTTTAATTTTCTCCCCATCCTCATTATCTCAGTTTTCTCTCTATAACTGTTACAGAATATTAGCAATGGATAAAGTAATGCTCACCCGCAAAGCAGCTGCGAAGGATCTTGAAATTAAATTAAGAAACACATTACAAGAACTTAAAACATCACAAGACCTTTGCAAACAGCTGATGCAAGAGCGTGAAGAAAGTGAGGAGGAAATTCAGGTCATTGTAAGAAAAAACACTGAATTAAAATGTGAACTCGCTGAACTTCATAAAAGTTTTTTGGATGTAGTTGCACAGCGGGACAAACTAAACGAAATTGTGAGTGCATTCAACCAGTGCAGCAATGAGCATGAGAGGGCCTTAAATAAAATCGCGGAACTTGAAATTAATTTAAGGGAGGCAAATAACTCCATCCTTGAATTAGAACAAATTAATACATCTCGTGATGCAAACCAAACCCAAAATCTGTATGCTGAGCTGGTGGAATGTAATCCTCAAATGTTTATAGACTTGACAAAAGATGACTCTTGCATCCAGCAATCTCGCCTATATACACAAAATAAACTTAAGAAATACATCAAAATTAAAAGATTTATCAAGAAAACGAATAAATTATTAAAAAATAGATACACACACACAAACAAATTTATGAAATGAAAAATGAGCAGATAAAATTATTTAATAAAGTAAAATCATATAAAAATAAAATAGATCAAAATAGGTTTAAGTATGACCAAGAAACACTTCAGCTCCAGACTGAAATTAATAATTTAAATATCACACTACAAACATTGACTGCTAAATATGAATCATCTCAAAAACAAATACAAGAACACATATTAGCAGCTGATAATTTACTAGATCTTTGTAATTATAATTATAATAGATTTGAATCATTTACAAGCAAAAATACATGTTGTTGCTCCAAATCACAATCTCCAAACAAATTAAAAACTCAGAATATACCTAAGGAGATAGGAAGTGACTTGGTCATACATGAATACAATCAACCGTCATATAATAACAATGAAAATGAAATATATACTAAACAAAATGTTACAATTGTATCAGATAACATAGGGCAAGGTTTTGGTTCGCTAATTTCAAAACATATAAATAATGTATGCAATATATGTTCACCGGGTGCCAGTTTCCAGAAAAATATAAATAAAATCTTGACATTGAATGTAAATGAAAATAGTACTATTGTACTACTTCATGGGGATAGTTCATCTGTTAGGAAACAGGAAATTATCAATAATATGGAAATATTACTGGGCTTACATTACAAGACTAAGTGTAAATTTATAATATGCGCATTTCCATATTCCTCCTTCCTTACAGAGGAACAAAATAAAGACATATATAGTCTTAACATGACTATATATAATACAACTCACCGTCATAGTGACGCTTTCTTTTATTTTGACATAAATAGTTTTATTAAGTCTAGTTTTAAGGTGACAAAAAATACTTGGTATTTGCCATTATATTATAAGAAAATAATTGCTACTTTAGTAGCATATAATATACAAAACCCAGTTGTACATTGTACAACTAAGAACATTTTACTTAGCAATAATTTTACAAAAAACAAAGTTAATTTAAACTAAACATTGAGACAACACCTAAGCCACTTAAATTAAATATTGTACACCAAAATATACAAGGCATAGGTGGCAAAGAACCTGAAATTGAGCTATTTCTTAGAAGATTTAACATCCATGTCATCTGCTTCACAGAGACATGGTTACATAAGCATTTTAATATAGATATAGAGAACTATAAATTGTTAAGTTCGTTCGTAAGAGCAAATGCTATTCGCGGTGGCTCTCTTGTGTTAGTAAGAACTGATATAGTCTGTAAAAATCGACAGGATATAGTAGCACACTCTGTCGAACGTTCTATAGAATTATCCTGCGTTGAGAGTCAACAGTATATTATAGTATGCGTGTATCGACCCCCGTCAGGTGATTTCGATCTCTTTGAGTGTGTAATGGATGATGTACTTAAAAAACTCTGTTCAAGTAGTAAATCAATAGTAGTTTGTGGAGATTTTAATGTGGATTTATTACAAGTGACACATCTTAGTAAACGACTTTTAAATTTATTTAGTTCATTTAAACTTAATAATCTTTTTCATGAACCAACTCGTGTCACAAACTCATCCTCCACATGTATAGATAACGTTTTCTGCCACGATAATGTATATGATAAATATGTTATAAATTATCTGAGCTCTGACCACTTTGGTTTAAAATTTTCAATAAATGAAAAAGTTATTACAAGCAAACATAAGATCAAGTGTAGACCAGTCACTACTAATAGAATAAATTCTTTTAAAGAAAAAGTGGCACATCATATGTTAAATAAAGATATAGAAGTCAATAATCCTAATGATTCTTATAAATCAATGGTTGACTTCCTCATATCTTCTTATAATGATGTATTTAAATCGCACACAATTGTTAAAAATTCAAAATTAAAATTTAGTGACTGGGCAACAGTGGGTATATATAAAAGTAGGGATTCACTGTATGAATTATATAATATGAGGCAGTGGAATCATGACCCCAACTTTCATAAAAGGGTACAAATGTTCTCAAAAATATTTAAAAAAGTCTGTATTCAGGCAAAATCTATTCATATAAGAAATAGAATAATAAATTCAAACAATAAAATTAAAGCCACATGGGACATCATTACCCGTATATCTGGAAGACCCAAGATATTCAGGGAACCTATAAAACTGGTTATAGATAATTCTCCCATAACATCAGATAATGAAATTGCAAGCAGTTTTGAAAGCTATTTTTCAGAAATTGCAGTTAATGTCACACGTACATTAAAATCATCTCCCATAGATGCAATTAACGTTCTAAGAAATAATGTTACCTTTTGTCCCCACACATTTAAATTTAATCACGTAGATACTTATGATATTATAAAAGTTTTGAATTCTATTAATCTTAAGAATACAGGGGATTTATGGGGCATGTCCATAAAATTAATGACCACAATAATGCCATATATTGCACCACATTTAGCTAATATTTTTAACAACTGCATAGAATCTGGAATATTTCCAGATCTTATGAAATTTAGTAAGATAATCCCCGTCTTCAAAAGTGGGGATAAAAATGATCCAGGAAACTACAGACCTATCTCCATATTGCCATCTCTGAGTAAAATTTTTGAAAAACTAATTTTAAATCAGCTCTTAGTACATTTTAATATGAACAAAATTTTTCACAATGAGCAATATGGATTCACTAAAGGCAGATCGACAACAGATGCGGGTATCGCACTTGTCAAACATATTTATAACGCCTGGGAAGGGTCGCAAGATGCAATAGGTGTTTTTTGCGACCTTTCAAAAGCTTTCGACTGCGTGGATCACAAAACCCTCCTTCTAAAGCTTGATTATTATGGCATTCGTGACATCGCCCTCAATCTCATTGCTTCTTATCTTAATAATAGAATTCAAAAAGTATCTATAAATGATGTAAATTCCGCAGGGTCCCCCATGAAAATGGGTGTCCCACAAGGATCGATCTTGGGCCCATTATTATTCTTAGTATATATAAATGATCTCCCCTTTTATGCCAGTGAGTTATGTGATGTTGTACTGTTTGCTGACGACACATCGCTTATTTTTAAGGTTGACCGAAATGTATCGAATTATGACGACGTGAATAGTGCACTTTCGCGTATCCTCCACTGGTTTACCATTAATAATATGGTGTTAAATGCTAAAAAAACTAAATGCCTTCTTTTTTGCCCTTCCCAACGTAAGAAGGCAAAGTTTTAGCTTAAAATTGAATAGCGTAACCCTTAATCCTGTTGAGTCCGCTGTATTCTTGGGAATCACAGTAGATTCAAAGCTCCAATGGAGTCCCCATCTATCATCTCTTGCGAATAGGTTAAGCTCCGCTGTTTTTGCAATTAGGAAGGTTAGGCAGCTATCAGACATCGACACTGCCAGACTTGTTTACTACAGTTATTTTCACAGCATCTTGTCGTACGGCATTTTGTTGTGGGGTAGTGCATCTGATATAAATTCAATATTTATTATTCAAAAAAGAGCTGTCCGAGCAATTTATAACATCGGAGCCCGGAATACACTCAGACATCTTTTTAAAGAGATTAATATACTCACTGTTGCGTCTCAATATATTTATTGTAATATTTTGTATGTTAAACAGAATATTAATAATTATCAAAAGAATAGTGACAGACATAAACTAAATACTAGAAATAAGGACAAACTAACTACGCCATTATTTCGCCTACAAAAAGTAAACAGATCGTTCATGGGGCAAAGTGTGCGCATGTATAATAAAATCCCACAGTCGATGTTAAGTCTGCCACTTGATGAATTTAAACGAAAAATTAAAAGTACACTTATGGCTAAAGCCTATTATACTATTGCCGAATATCTTGACGACGCCAATGTGTGGGGTTAATACTGTTGATACTCACGTAGGCTAAAACAAGACTATTGTACCTGTACTATTATATTGTAAACTGATTTTTTTTTTTTAAAAAGAGCAACTGTTGAGTTTCTTGCCGGTTTCTTCTCAACAGAAACTGCTTTCCGAACCGGTGGTAACTTACGAACGTGTTAATTTCTTGTAAAATTTTGACGTTTCATAAGAACGCGCAAGCGTCTATGTGAATAAAGATATTTTTATTTATTTTATTTATTTATTTGTTTTCTCGTCTGGTTGGGTTTATAAATAAAATAAAATTAAAAAAAAAAAAATAAATATATTGCATATATAAAATAAATATTATGGATAAAAAATAATACATATATATATATATATATATATATATATATATATATATATATATATATATATATATATATATATATATATATATATAATAAATATTTTATATAATACATATATAAATAGGACCCAACCAGACGGAAGCCCTCGGCAGGGGAGACCAAACGGCCGAGGGTTAGGGCGAAAGGGAGAGAAACCGGCGGACGATGCGGGCGGTATCGAGGAGCACCGCCTTCTGCATTTGAGCCTGGAGCGATCCGTCCCGGAGTCCCAGTCGCCTCAGATGTTTAGAGAGGCTGACTGGGATCAACCCATTCGCAGACACGACTATCGGGATAATTTCGGTCGGCACACCACCCCACATGTCGGTCACCTCGTGAGCCAGGTCCAGATACTTCGTCTTCTTATCTGTTTCGGCTTTCACGAGGTTCTCGTCATATGGAATGGTAATGTCGACCAAAAATACCCGCGACTGTGCCCGGTCCATCAACACGATATCAGGTTTGTTCGCGACAATTGTCCTGTCCGTGATGATGGACCGGTCCCAATAGAGCCTGGCGCGGTCATTTTCGAGCACGGCCTCCGGAGAGTACTTATAATACGGCAGTTTCCGTTCCACGAGGCCGTATTTCAGAGCGAGCTCCTGGTGTAGGATTCTGGCTACTAGGTTGTGTCTATGCAGATACTCAGAGTTAGAAAGCATGGAACAACCGGAGATAACATGCCGAAGCGACTCCCCGGGATGGCGACAAGCTCGACAGATGTCGACGGTGCCATCCTTTAGGATGTATCTCCTATAGTTGTTCGTCTTAATAACCTGATCCTGTATCGCACAGACAAAACCTTCGGTTTCCCCAAAGAGGTCACCGAAACGTAGCCAGTTCAGGGAGGCAACAGTATCTACGAAAGGCTCGTGTAGAGCCTTGTAGAACCTCCCGTGGAGCTCTTTCTCCTTCCATACAGCCTCTCGGTCGGAAACGCTCAGTACTCCCGGGTCCTGCCATTGCTCGTTGGCTAAGGATAGAGGGGTAAGTCCTTTATCACAACTAATGACGTCCGTGTAGATTGACTCATCCGATCTCGCCAGAAAGTAGTTACGGAGGCTGCACACCTCGCGATTGTGCATGGTGAGGGCGCTTAAAAAGCCCCTCCCGCCATGCTTCCGCGGAAGGTACAGCCTCATCACTGACGATCTCGGATGATGCATTCTGTGGGACGTCATAGTTGTGCGGACTTTTCGGTCCAGGGCGTTGAGCTCAGTTTGAGTCCACCTGAGTATGCCAAAGGTATACATGAGGACTGGCATGACCCAGCCGTTAAAAGCACGTGCCTTGTTCCCGCCTGACAAATGGCTATTAAACACCTTTGTCAGGCGTGCAAAAAACACGTCACGAACTGACTGTTTCATGCCAGCCTCATCGATACACATATTTTGTGACATACCCAGGTATCGGTATGTTTCAGCCTCAGAGAGGGTCCTTATGTTAACGGGCATAGATAAGTCTATGCCCTCCGTATTAGTGACCTTACCCCTTTCGACATGAAGGACCGCACACTTATCCGTCCCGAGCTCCATTTTGATAGAATTGCTGAAATCACAAGTGACTTTAAGCAATTCCATCAAATGGGAGCGATTGGAGGCGAATAACTTGAGGTCATCCATGTAGAAAGGTGGGTCACTTTTGTCCCTCCTCTCCGAAGCTGAAATCCTCCCACCGAGCCCTCCAGTAATACGCTGAGAGGATTCAGGGAGAGGCAAAACCATATTGGACTCAAACAGTCGCCCTGGAAAATACCCCGTCGTATCCTTATCCGGTATTCCGCAGCCGTCATCCGTTCGCCTAGATGACAAAGGATCGTACTCCATTGCCCCATACAGTGCTCGAGGAAGTCTCTTACTGTATTGTCTACTTTGTATAGTTCGAGGACCCTCTTTAGCCATGTATGGGGCACCGAGTCGAATGCCTTTTTGTAGTCTATCCAGGCGGCGGAGAGGTTCCGACAGTTGCGTTTAACCATTTTACCAGTGACCGCGTCGATGAGAAGCGGTTCCTTGGTTCCACGACCGCCACACCGACATCCATTCTGAGTACGAGACATAATCCGATTCACATTAATATGCCGGGTGATTCTCATACTCAGAATAGATGTCAGTGTCTTATAGATGGTAGGTAGACACGTAATGGGGCGGTACTTACTCGGGTATGTGGTAACCTGATCTTTATTATTATTATTTATTATTATATTATTCGATCAATATCATAGAAATTCCTTCTTGAAATGCAAATTATTATTTGAGTTAATTCTTTTCCTAGAAATAAAGAATAAATTGTGAATGTTATGTCAAAAATGACAGAGGTGGGTAAGGAGTCATAACACTTGATGAAAGCTATACCTCCCTAACGGTGGTAGGGCCACGGAACACTGTTGCACGAATGGGCAGGTCCATCCGGGTAAGTATCACGACCTCACAGAAGACCGGCGTAAAGCAGCAGTGTTACATTTCTGCGTTTCGTCTGGTGAGTGAGGTAGCTGGGGCCCACTTTATTAAAGGTGCCAAAGCATTTGCAACCCTAAGGGTTGCAAATGTCCATGGGCGGCGGTTATCACATGCACAGGTGAACCGCCGGCTCGTTTGTGTTACATAAAAAAAGGAGAAGGCCAACGGAACCAGTGAATGAAACAATATTTTATATGGAAATGTTAAATGAAAACAACATCACTATATTCATATGGATAAAGTGATTTCGGTTCTAATTATATAATCGTGTGTGAGGCTAAAGCCAGTAGTTTGTAAGTAATTCAATTTTTGATTATAACATATTCATTTAAGTTTGAAACAAGATATATATCGGGTTTCATACCAGAAGTTAATTGGAGTGAGATCATAGATTCGAATAGCCTTGACAAAAAAGCAGTCATTGGCCAACATTCTTAATATCTCATCAATACAACTTAATGTTTCATTAGTAATATATAACGAATATAAGACTAAACGTTACAAATTAAGATAAAATCTATTTTGAAACAGAAAATATGCATTATGTATGTATACGTAAATTGTTTCAATAAGATGCACGAATGATTTGTGGGGCGAGGTTTCGGTCAGTGAATCGAGTCGTTAGGATGATGCAATTCAACCTTAAACTGCAAATGCTTGACAAGAAGAGTGCTTATATTGTTCTTAAATTATCAAAATGAATTCCCCGTCAGATATGAGGAAGTTAAGGTACTGATTGGAGCCCTCTCTCTCTCTCTCATATCTCTATTGTTAGAGATTTCTGGTCCCCTTTACAGGACATATTTTCCTTTGTTAGACGTTTTTACATAATAATTTTATTATATCACCATACAATTTGGTCCTATAACGTGTTCATCCAGCTGGGTACTATTTTTGGTTTCAGGACAGTCTGCAATATTTGATGTTCCATATTTACAGTATACCACGTCACATAAATTAGCTTTGTCTCTGTCGTACACTCTTGAAATTGTTATTTGGCTGTATGTCATTTTTAAGGCAGGAAGCCTTGAAGGCCCCGCTATCACATCTCACGCATTTGAAGATCTGTTGAAAAAACTGTAATCACCTTTGAAGCCGTGGTCATTGCCTTGATTTCCCCTTTACAATACTTTTAATAACGTCAACAAAGTTGCTACTCCTAGACATTAACGCACCCTATTGTACCTACTGTAGTACAGTACTATATTCTTAGATAATAGTAAAAAATAAAATCAAATAAGACAAAACCTACATGATACTTTTATTGAATTAAATCATTAAACATAGCCGTACTAGCATAATGTTAAACCACGAACCTATTGGCGTAGCTGGCTCTTGTGCCATAGGGGGAAGTTCAATCTCCATAAATGGAAAATATTGTGTGACGAAAATAGTATTTGTCTAACAAGTCACTGTTAACACATCTATAATATGTATTAAATACAAAAAATTAAAAATTGTAGGTATATTTAAGTATGTATGTTAATCAGATACCGTTAAACTAGCTTTGCTTAAATTTTAACGAGGTAAAGATGCTTTAAAATATATCGTGAAATATTAATATAAATAACAACATTTCAGAAGAACTTTTAATTGGTTAAGTAATGGAAAAAGTAAACAATATATACGCCTCAACTTATTGAACCAACTAATCAAGTTGTAAACCTAATCTGAGAGTAGCGCTTAACCACACATTGCGAGTTTCCACACAATAAGAGGATTTGCGAGATAAATACCTGAGCTTTGTAACGTAAGTGTATAGAAAATTAAAAGTTCTACCTTCATGGAGTTACAATTTACTTTCACTGTAATTGTAAGTAAACTATACTATTGTTACGTAATTTTCGGTGGATAGTAATATAAATTTTAGAAAAAATCATTTTATCTAACTAATAAATTCTTTACTTCTCTTTTTAATTACTTCTATCCTGAAAAATGCTTCTTTTCCCTCGGTTTGGAAAGATGCGAATGTCATTCCTCCCCCGAAAAAAATAAATCCCGCTAGTTTCTCCGATTATCGGCCCATTTCCCTACTTCCATTCTTATCTAAAGTTCTTGAACGCCTTGTCCAAAACAAATTAAATTCCTACCTCGTGGAAAACAATCTGCTCAATCCATTCCAAACCGGTTTTCGTCCTGGCCACAGCACGACTGCAGCGCTCTTGCAAATTAACGACGACATTCGTTATGGCATGGATTGTCAAAGACTTACTGTACTGACTTTTATTGACTTCAGCAATGCATTTAATACAGTAGATTATGACATATTGCTCGCTATTCTGTATTCTCTCAACATATCTCCGATTGTGGTTGACTGGTTTCATAGTTACTTGTTCGGTCGCTGACAAAGTGTTCAGGTGCAGAATGTTTTCTCTTCCTGCAATAACAATGTTGCTGGCGTTCCACAAGGTGACGTGTTGTCTCCTATCCTGTTTGCAATTATCATTAATACGATAAGCTCCTACCTACCTATCTTCTTCCTACGACTTGTACGCTGATGATCTTCAGATTCATACTTAATCATCTCTGGAAAACCTGCCTATATCGATTGAAAACACTGACACTGATTTGACTTGTATTTCTAATTGGAGTAAGGCATATGGTTTGACTATCGATCCTACGTCAATTCAAGGCACCATCATCAGGAGTTCTAGGTTGGCCGCTAAAATCGACTGGTCTACTTTACCCCTAATTATTATTAACGGTACTCATATCCCGTACAGCAAAAAGGTGAAGAATCTGATAATATTTTTGACCCTGTTTGACATGGACATGGCAGATAAATGAGACTAGTAAGAAAACGTTCTCTGCTATAGGCTCTTTACGAAGACTGCGTAATTTTCTTTCCACTGCCACTAAAGTTGCCCTCGCTCATTCACTACTTCTGCCCATCCTTGACTATACTGATCTTTACTATCTTGACATTACCGAAGTACAGTTTAATAAGCTTGAGCAGATTAAAAATTTGTTCCCTTGATTCATATTTGGGCTTCGTAAATATGATCATGTTTCCGATTTTCGTGCACAGCTCAAGTTACAGCTCCCAATCCGTCTTCACAGGAATACCAACCCCAAACCCTTATCCTCTCTGCTTTGTCCAGCGTGTTGTTTAATCACTCTACTCCTAAATAATTTAAAGATCGCTTCGAATATTTTTCAGTATCCCATGAAAGGTCCCTTCGTTCTTCTGTCAATCTGTCCTTTCAAACTCCTGTACATTCCTCTTCCTTCTTCGAAAAATCTTTTACAACTGTGCGTTTGTGGAATTCTTTGCCTCTTCACATTCGACAAGCTAAGTCTCTTATTTCTTTTAAAAACCTAGGCAAAGCTAATTACTTGGATCTGTGAACTCATGCTTTCCTTTTTACTTTTCCTATTTTTCCGAAAAACTTTGACAATCTCATTTATGTTTCATTTGTTTATAAGTGAATCATGTACAACTCCCTCTGCTCTCTTCTTTATGTCTCTGGTTGGCTCTCTTCTTTATGTAATGGTTATCTGGAAGAAATTGAATATAAGACCGCCTATTGTACTTCGTTTTACATTTATTTGTAATTTGCTTTATATAGAGTATATATGGTGTACAATAAAGTATAAGTAAATATTTCGACACCAATATTCATTATGGAAAATTTAGGAAAGAATACGAAATCGACCTCGACATATCTAAACTGAATATGCAAAGAAATATAAATTATGAGTCTTCATTCTGAACGCTATGAATAATTATTTTGAAAATATTTATTTTTAATAATTGAAATACACAAATAGTTTAGACATTAAACATTAAGGATTTTGTATCAAATTGTTGGATGAACGTTAATATAAACAAATAATAAATTCTAAATACAATTTTAAGATCTGAATAGTAGTATATATTATGTGTAGTAGATCATACCATGGTTTTGATTTCAAATAATATTAGTTGAAGGTTTATTTTTATTAGCTATCAGTTAATTATTAAATAAAAATTCATTCATTTAGCCGTGTTAAAATGTATACTTTAGATATTACAAATATCACAAACAAATATTAACGAAATTAAACCAAGGCCTTACAGCACCAAAAAACCAAAACATAAAAATTTTGAAAATTACACGTTGCTCGATACATACTTGTACGCACATTAATGTGAGTGTGAGTTGTAATGTAATGCTATGGAACCCTGCGTGCGCGTGTACGACTCGCACTTGTCGGGTTTTTAAATTAAAACGATTGTTCACTCTATACAATTTCAATAGAACCGTGTTACTTTTCATTTTAAAATTAAAAGGAGCTAAATCATGATAATAATAATTGGTGAACAACAGATAAAAAAAACGATTGCCACATTCGATTTTAATCAAAAGTATTAAATATCAACCGTTCTAGAAACATTTCTACTTTCAAATTCCTTGTTCAACTACCACTGTCGTACCAAGAAAACATATTTTAATTAAATATCATGGACATAAATAATTAATATAAATAGACTGAAACACACACTAACATACATGTATATACATTTATAAAAATATAAATACCTACTGCATAAGTATGTATATAGAGCTAATGCATACGACTTAAACGTTATCCAATCTATTTCAACAAGCCGGGAGTTAATACTTAGTTGAATTCCTCCCGAGAACACTTAATTCTTCTTTTTCTTGGTACATAATAGTGAAAATATTTCATTGCAGTGGCGATTTCACAAAGAGCTAAAAATTAGGGCATAAGCTAGTGTTATATCGTGTGGATTTTGCGATCCGCAGCCGGTCTCGGAATATAGAGTTACAATATTAATTTTAATACAAATAATAGTTAATAGTATAGCGGCTAGACTATTCGTCTGCTTCTGTACGTGTGTATGTCACAAAACTCCTCCTAAACGATATTAATGAAATTTTTTGTGTCTTCAGGTCGATTCGAGAATGGTTTAGTGTGTACAGGGCAACGCCTGGCCGGTCCACTAGTATCATAAAATATTCTTTATCGGTCAACGGCTCCGTGATAGCTCAGTGTCAGGGCGCTCGCCTTTAATTTAACATACTCAACCTGGTATAGCAACCTGAGTTCGATGCCCGGTGCCGGCACCATTTAAATCGTTAATTTTAAGTGCTGACTTATCACGTTCTCAGCGGTAAAGGACAATATCGTGAGGAAACCTATATATTTTCGAAATAATAACAAAAAAATATATAAATTTCGACATGTTAAGTCGGCCAACCTTCAGTGGGGCCGCCTGGTCAACTCCTCTGAGTTCTTTTCCCAGCAGTGGGATATATTTAGGTTACTACTTTACTTTTTTTCTATGGCCTTTAGTAACAAGGAATATAGAGCTTATGCTGTAGGAATGACGTTTCGTTCACTTGCCTTGAGCGTGCTATTTTGTAATTATTTCGTAACATGCAAACCTGATGCTTGATTCAAGATTTTCAAGGCACTCCACTTAGCTTAAAATGCAGTTTCATTTTTATTTATTTAAGGTACTGCAGCCTAAAATTTATATGTCACAGTTGCAAATAACACATAGGTAGGTATGTGTTATTTGCAACTGTGACATGTGCATCTATGGGCAGCCCTTTTTTATATTGCCTAGAAACTGCCTCGCGTTTGTTGTATGGGAGCCCCCTTAAATATTTTTTTGTTTTATTCTGCTTTTTGGCAACGGAAATACATAATCTGTGAAAATTTCAACTGTTTAAGTATCACCGTTCATGAGATACAGCCTAGTGACAGGCGGACAGACCTTAATATCCATTTGGATAATACGTAATCGTTAAACTTTTATTTTTAGGTTTTTTATAGGTCTAAAAAGTTTATTTTAAATTTACGACAGGCTTGCCATCATGCATCACGCATCATTATATAATACGCACGGCTACATTCGGGGACGGTAAAATTAGTTTAATTCAGTCTAAAAAATGTGAAACAACTCTATTTGACATATTATGAAGAAACTGATAATTGACACTTAAATGCAGCTAAAAATTGTATTTATTAATAATGATGCTGGTATAAATTGTATGTACAATGTTGTTATGTTGTGGATCTAAGTAGAGTCTGTTACCCGACAATCACGCAATTTTTGGATTATAGTTTTTGGTTTCGTATAAATAATAATGT